TCCTAGTTAAAGCCCAGTTTGTGGTTTTTGACAGCAAACCAAGACCCTCTTGTCTGCTTCAGGAAAGCTGGCTGCTTTTAGTCCCTGGCATTATCCTCATCTCAACAAGTCACCAATTGTCTTTACCATGACTTATATTTGTGCCAGGTTTTTCTTGGTCACTTTTGCTAGAGACAGTAATACCAGTGATAAAATTATTGTCAATTTGGCTTTAATTTATGACAAATAATCTTGAGAAAAGGAATAGCTAGTGAGATGATCTTGTAAGAGCAAAAGCAAGTATGTGAAAATATTTGAACAAAAGTATGTACATGTTTTTGTGTGTTTTAATTCTTCCACATACTTCTTGCTAATTGGCCTATGATCTAGAAGATAAAAATATGCTGAAAAATACCATAGACAACTGATATTTTGCAAAATGAAATATTTACACTGTACTTTTTTTGTATAGTGCGATTTGATGTGGATAGAATTTAATGTTTCTTATGTGCACTTTTTAATGTCTTTGAAAACAGGAAGAGGTTGAGTCATAGATGCTTGGTACTTTTATTAAATCTACCTCCTTTCTCTCCCTTTTCCTGTCCCCTGATAGAAAAGAAATGGCCTAATATTTTTATGTTTCCTTGGTATGGGATTTGAAAAAAGGTTCATAGTACTTTGGTTTGACAAATATATTACCCAAAGTAACTACTTTTTATAACCTTTACACAAAGGAAATGACAAACCTTGTAAAAATTAGAACGATTTTTGTCTTTCAGTATATGGTCTAGTAGTGCCACTTAACTAAAACTCCTCAGTCCGTGACCTTGAGAAATCTAGAGGCTAAATAGGAGCAGTAGAGTACTGAAGGTCATCCTCTCCACCACTATCCAAAAAAGGGGATCAGATACGCATCCTAACAGGTAAGCATTTTCATAATTAAGGCAGATGGTGATTGAAGCAAAGGCAATTGAAAACGGGGATGGGGGCACACGAAAGCAATAATTTTGAAGGTTTGACATTTGTTTTGAAACTACCTTACTACCCTATACCCTTTACCATCTGTCTGTTATCCCTCCCAACACCCACCTCTGTCTTCCCACAGGGCTCCATTGTCTGCAGTTCCTGTTTCTCAGGGGCGGAGCTGTGGGAGGCAGCCATGGGTGCCATAATAGGCACCTGCGGCCAGCACAATGGGCTGTGGGTGCTTGTGGGAGAGACAGATTGATGTATTGTGCATGGGGGAGGAGGGCTGTCACTTGAATCCATGTGAACCCAGGCTTTAGGGGCAAGGGAGATTGACAGCTTTTGTAGGTTGCATTTCTTTTTCAAAGCTTGGCTTTAATAGACAGTAAGTTTGGGGCCCCAGGCTTTCACTCCCATAATTCTAACAGGGCAATCACGAGCATTCAGCATTTCTTTTTACCCCCCTTGTTCCGCATTAAATGATTTCAGTAAAGGAATGTGCAGCATTAATTAGAATTTGTTAGCAGATACCAAGGGGAAAAGTTTCTTCACAACAACTATAGGAGGTGTCATCTGTACAAAGACTTTTTTGTTTTCTTTCCCCATTACATTATCACTGCAATATGTAAGGTAGTGATTCTTTTCATTTAAATTAAGTGGAAAGCTACTAAATCTTGTTTTATTCTCCAAAAAGAATAAGGTCCTTAACACTTATCTTTTAACTTCTTTCATTTCCTAAGGTTGGTGTTTACTTTTGCTTTCAGTCCAAGCCATTTACTTGGGCTGTGAGGTTGTGTATCCAGTTTTGTGTACCCTTTAGCTCTTACAATTACAGGCAACCCACTGTACTGATATATAAAGATTGTTACCAGGTGAAAATAGCTACAAATAATATTGGAAATCATTGATAGACCAGTCCCCTTTCAGTAATGGTACACTGAGGAATGCCAAAAATGAGACTCTTTTACGTTTGTATCCTAACATATTTTTTAAAGCTATTTTTCTCCCTTTGCTGTTTAACCTTAACCATGACATCAAATTATGGAAGAATGAGTTAGTGGCCAAGGAATTTTTTCCCCATAGAAAACTCATTCCTAAGATATGTCAGTTTTTTAAATGTCAAACTCTCTCTCTCTCCTCTCTCTCTCTCTCTCTCTCTCTCTCACACACACACACACTCACACACACACACAGAGAGAGGGAGAGAGAGAGATAACGCCATTTCCTTGCAGTTAGTAAAAGTGATCTTTTTGTTTCATACCTATTTTTTATTCCAGACATTTCAGTCTTATATAGGAAAAAAAAAAAAAAGAATCTCAGTCAGATAGGATATACCTTGTAAACACACTCTTCGCTGTCTGGGGAACTGATAAAACACCATTAACATTTTCAATGTGATTCTTCTAACATCTCCCCTGCTTAAAACCATTTTTTTTTTCCAATGGAAGGAGTTGAAGGCTAATTGAATTAGAATTTTCCCACTTAATTGTTTTATTTAAATGTGTTAGGACAACAGTGAAAAATATTGATGAAGTCCATCCTTAATTCTCAGAGAGAACATATTCCCACAGAGCTGTCTGGCTCTGTCTATAATAATAATTTGGTGCAATGGCTTTAAAAGTAGTGGGGTGATAATAATTAGGGTGTGCGACAGAAATTTCAATGCTGGATTCAACATTTCACCATGCAGGGCATGAAAATTGCCGACCGGGGGCTAGTCAGCTCTAAGTACTAATTAACTAATTAATCAGGTGCTGAAACCAAGTGAATGGAGGATACCAGCCAGACAACTCAAGCCCAAGCGGAGGGTTGTGCTCTTTAAAAGATAGTGCATTCTTTTTTTCTTGGTTTTTAACCCAATCAGAAATGAGGAGAGAGATCAGGTTATGGTACAAGCTTTTTCTTGGAGAATATAAAATCAAAGCATGTGCCTCTGATAATAGCTGTAAGGTGCCTCAGTGAAGAAGTGTTTCAGGTCTGGTGGGGTTGGAGCTGAGGAAGAGAATTCTGCCTTCCTAGGGATTACTTCTACAGTCCCTTTTTGAACATGGGGGAATGAGAAACATATCTCTCTTTGGGGGCTGATTTTAGGTCTTTTGCCTCATCCTTCGTTCATGTAAATGAGAAGAGTCCAATTACACATATGGAAAAAGGGTTTAATGAATCGTGAAAAGCCCGGTTTGCAGAGAAAGGGCACAATCCCCTCTTCTTCGTCTTTAGATTTAACTTAGAAACATGTATTTCTTTTCAGGAAGATGCTAAAACGTAATGATGAGAT